GCTCACCCTCCGCATCTCTGGCCTGTACCTCAGTTCTGTACGAATAAATAAATAAATCTTTTTAAAAAAAACTATGTAGCATTAATGAAAGTTTTAAAGAGACACATGCTAAGATTACAATTCTCTTAATTATTTGTGGTTGTTGGACAGTATAAGTTGGTATTCCAAAACTAGGTCCTAGAATTTACTTAGCGATAGTCAGTTGATTCTAAAAAATTGTGTTAGTAGTATTAAGTGTGCTAAAGGGTAGTCAGAGAGCAAAAAACTTTCAGTTTGGGTGCAATAATGGTGTGAGCTTTCTGAGAGGAGACTTTGCTGACTAGATGACCAAAATATTCTGAGATGAATCCATGCTTACCAAACAATCTTCATATTACAGCTTGGTTTTCCAGATGTTTCAGTTTTCTCAGCAATTATACTCTATCCTAAATAAAATTAATTAGTTATTCTGTTTGTTGTAAGTCTTCAGCATGAGGAGTCAGCCTCTGTGAATCTGCTTGCTTCTGGGTACACTTGAAGTCAGGTCTAGACCAATGTGATGCCACAGAGATAAAAACTCTGTAAAACTCTAATGGCTCTCTGGTTTCTGTCATTGCCACCTTTTAATCAAGCTTCCTCTGTTATCAAACTGAATAATTACTCTTTAGGAACTTGTGCTCTACAGTTAAAAACAATGTATGCCCAAATTTCCAGCCTAGGGGGAGTAGTTTCGTAATATTTTCTTTAGTTTTTTTATGCTATTTTTCTGTAGAGTGGATATATTAGATAGACATTTCCTGCCTTCCAGCTATGTTAGTGTTGTAGATCAAGAAAATAAAGTTGAAAGAGGCTTATATTGCCTTTAGGGAATTTTTTCTTTTAATTTTTTAACTTTCACATAATAAAGCCCTCAAGGATAGGATCTAATTTTCTTAGCTTAAAGGTTTCTGTTTTTCCCTTATTCACCTCCCTCCACAGATCCTATTTATATTCATTTAACTGAACAAATACTTATTGAAAACTTAACACATGATAACCACTACCTTATTTTATGATAGACCCCCAAATCCTACTTCTCTATCATTTAAGTTCCTGAAACATTGTTTTGCAAATTTCTCTAACTGCACATGTAAAAATCTTTGATATTTTTCATTAAAGTCAAAGTTTTTAACCTTAACTCCCTAGTCCTTACTTTCCCTTAACTTCATTTCCTAGTGTTTCAGTTGGTCTAGTCAAGTGGTCTGTTCCTTCTTCCCTAAACAAGCCACTTAGATTCCTATGGTCAACTCCTTATCCCCTCCCCCACTTAGTTTGTCCTACCTAGGGTCTCTTTCCTCAATCTTTTTTGTTCGGCTAATAATGACTTAATTAATTGAACCAAAATATATTTCCTATCCGCAAGTGTACAGCTACTTTATCTTAAGGATAGTTAATGTCCAGTTTTGTCTAGAAGGGTTTCTCCTTTATAAACTTTCTAGTTACAAGTATACTAAGTATAATTTACTTGCACAAAACAAGTTGGTAGAAAGAGTTTAGTCTGGCCCAGGAAAACTGAGATCCAGCCCCTACAGATTCATTCTATAACCGGGCCCAAATCGCTTTGTGTCTCTTTCCTAGCTGAGTCAACATTAATATTCTGGGCCAGGGGTCAGCAAAAGAGTCTAGGGCCAAGTCTGACTCACCACTTCTTGTATGGCTCCTGCACCATGCATGGTTTTTACCTTTTTAAATAGTTGAAAAAAGATGCAAAGATTATTTTGTGGCACGTGAAAATTGCATGTAATCCAAATTTGTGTACAAAATGTTCTATTTGCATGTGGTTACGCCCATGTACTTACTATGCTGCCAACAAAGATCTTATGGGTTGCCAAGCTCCAAATTTTTATGACCTGACCCTGATGGAAAATTTGCTAACACCCTTCTTGCTGTGCAAGATTGCTGCCAACCTCTGGTCGCTGTACAACCTCTGGTGCTGGTCTTCGCTCAGACCTCCCTCTGGCTCAATTCATTAGACGAGAAGTTTCTGGGCGGTGGAATCTTAAAAAGCCCATTGAAGTGGTGCCGGGTTCATAGCACCCTAAAATATCAGGACTGCCGCGATGCTCGGTTTCTAGGGAAATAGGACAAAGGCAACTTATAAGTTCTTTTGATTGAAATTCCAACGGTTTGAGAGAACTGATTCCCCCCACTGCCCCTCAGCTTTCTCCTCTGTGAAATGGATACAAAAGAGGATTCATCGTGAGGGCAGAACTAGACGCGATGTGGAATGCACTCAGCTTTCCAAGCCTCCCCGCATATCCACAGGAAGCACCGCAGAACCCGCGCAGCACAGAGCGAAACGCACTGGTGCTGCCAGGCGGTGGGCGCTGGACCCGGATGTGGGTTGTGCGCTGCCGGCGCGCCGCTGTCAATCAAGGCAGCTTGGGGCGGGACGGGGCGGGGCGGGGCGGGGCTTCCGCCAGCGCGAGGCCGCTCGGGGCCGCTCTGCGGCGCGGGGGACTGTCCGGAACCGCGCCTGCAGCCGCCGGCATCGCGGCTAGAGGAGGGGGAGATGGAGTTGGAGCCCGAGCTGCTGTTGCAGGAGGCCCGCGAGAACGTGGAAGCGGCTCAGAGTTACCGGAGAGAGCTGGGCCAGAGGCTGCAGGGGCTGCAGGAGGCGCGGAGGCAGGTCGGAGGGTCGCTCGGAGGGTGGGGCGCTGTGGGTCCCCGGGAGGGCGCGGGGTGACTGGCGACCTGCGAGGACGAGGAGGGCGAGGAGGGCTCAGAGAGGTAGGGGTGTTGGAAAACCAAAGAGTGAGGAAGAGGCTTTGAAGATTCAAGGACCTAGTAGTGTCTGGGGTTGTGGGAGATGGGTGTTAGGGGGCCTAAGAGGAAGAGACAAGTTTGGGGAAGAGTGTGTGGGGCGTTCCCCAAACTGCTGGACCGTGTTGGGGACGTCGGTGGCGTCCGGGGTTGAGGAGCGGGAAGGACCAGAGTAAAATCCCAGGCCACCACAGAGGGTACTGATGACTAAACAAAGTTGGGGGAGGTGGAGAGTCTCTGAGAAAACTTGAAGTGGGCTTGGAGAGTGGTTTTGAGAAAATTGTGGGGCAGTGATCTGCAGAGAGCTAAAGGTGGGAGCAAAATGGATGTTGGAAGGTGAAACTAAAAACTAAATGGATGGTGAAACTAAAGGGTGTGTGTTGTGGGGGTGAGTTGAGAAGCTGGAAACATTAAATGAATGGAATTAAAACCTGAAAAGAATACCCAACAGCGTCTGTCATCTTAAATACATTAAAACAAATGCATTGTAACCCCACTCTAGAATTTAAGGTGACGCTGTGTTGGTGAGGTCAAAAGGGATGGAAAACAAAGGTGCAGGGAAATGGAAAAACACATTTGAAGAAAAAATGCTGAAAGGAGAAGCCCTTTTTTTATAGGAACACGGGTATCAAAGATAAAGGAAAATTACATGGCTACTTTACCCCTCCAAACGTACACACAATATAACCTGCCACTGTGTGATTGGACAGATATTCCTGAAGCTACTGTGAACATAGGTGCTTAATAAATGCTTTTTGAGTGAGTGGGGTTCTAGTCATCACTTACTGAGTGGTATTTCCCTACATCACACTTGATACTAATCTCTACTGTCACCCTAATCTGTATTGCCACCTGGCTTAGAATCTGAAATGTACAAGTGATAGAATACTGCTGTGATAATGATGCCTTTGGATATTCTCATTAAGGATACTAAATATGCTTTAGGTCTTATGTAGAACTTGTGTAGGTCAGGTATCATTTGTAGTTTAGTAGTAAAACTGGGAGCAAATGTAGATAGGATTTTCATTTGGTCACTGAATGCTCTTCAAGACCTTACCGTTTACTCATCTTATTTCCATTTGAAAACATCTTCATTATTTTTTCTGCTATTTTGAAGTAAAGGTCTTAAATCTAGGACATTGCCTAATAGGAGATTAAAATATTATATGAGTAATGTTTCAACTAGTTAAGATATCTTATATATGTCCATGACTATTATTTATTTACAGCACCAATTAAGAAGCAGTAGAGTTGATACTAATTGAACTCAGTTAATACCTGGACATAATACTTATTAATTTCTTTCTTTTTTACTTTCTTGTGTGATATTAAATGTTTTAAAAAACATTTAGTGTGATTCCATTCTGGATGGTTTAGAATTAATTTTTGAACCTATATTCTTTTAAATTTAATATCCAATAATGTAGGACATACTTCCCTATAACTTAGTGTAGTTTAATGTGAGATTTTGTTTTGTTTTTGAGTCCTATTGTCTGGGCCTAAGACAGAAAACACTAAGAGAACATCCATCACTGTTAGGTTCCCGGTGGCATTGCTTTCTGACTAGACTGAGTAATAGTGTAATTCTCCTTTGTTTTGTGACAGTTGCAACAGTGTCTTTTCTCAAAGCTAATTTCAGTAGATTGTACATATTTCGGTTTGTAGAATAAGTCCTTTGTCAACGTGTATTTAAAAGGTCTGTGTTACAAAAATGTTATCAAAGTATGCAGCTGGTTTTGTTGGGTGGTAAGGATATTTTTAGGGTTCCAATATTTTCAGAGTAACTACATGAAATTTCTAGCTTTGTAGCAAAGATTTTGCATGGGGGGAGGATGAGAACAGCAGACAGGATATCTTCCTTTGTGCGTATATTTTTTACTCACTGGTTTTGTTTCTTTTTCTTTTTTTTTTTTAATTGAAATGTAATTTATATACCACAGCATTCGTGTCCTTCGGTGTACAATTCAGCACTTTTTAGTATAGCCACAAAATTGTATAATTATTACCTCTGATTACAGAACATTTTCATCGCCTCAGAAATTCCATACCTGTTAGCTGTCCCTCCCCTCCGCCTCTGGCAATGTCTATACTACTTTCTGTCTCTATTTGGATTTACTTAATCTCGACATTTCATATAAATGGAACCATATAATAGGTGGATCCTGAGACAGGCGTCTTTAGCTTAGCATAATAGTTTCAGTGTTCATACATGTGGTAGCTTGTATCTGTACTTTAATCCTTTTTATGACTAAATAACATGTAATTTGGATAGACCACATTTTTTTTATCCATTTATCAGTTGATAGACATTTTACTTTTTGACTGGTATGAATAGTGTTGTTATGACATTCATGTACAAGTTTTTATATTGACATGTTTTTAATTCTTTTAGTACATACTTAGGAATTGCTAGGTCATAAGGTAATTGTTTAACCTTTTCAAGAACTCTTGGCATACTTTTTAATCTTTGCTTTTGTTTCTTACTCTTTAAAAAAAAACCTCATGAAATTGGTCTCATATTAAGAAATCATATCTGAAAATCTAGAAGGAAGAATAAAAACCTTTAAGTTACTGTCAAAAGCAACTGTCAGCATGTAGCAGTTTCTCTCCTTGTGGTTAAGTTTAGGCCCTGTCCTCTATATTCAGAACAAGGAAGTTTTGTGTGGGAATGCAAAAGTAGTTTGTAACTCTTAATGTTTGAGTAAGTTATAGGCTAGAGTGATGTTCATTGTCTTCAGGAAATTAGATAATATTCACAGCCAACCAGGACTAACTCAGATTGCAGTCATTAAGAATAGCTCCCTGAGGGCCCTCCCTGGTAGCACAGTGGGTTAAAGCACAGCACAGAGAAGCTAAAGCCACTTCAGCATGAGTTTGATCCCCACGCCTGGAGGAGGTCCACATGGTGTGGCAGACCTCTCCTGACCTGCCTGCTGCTCGCCTGAGCAGTGTACTCATCAGTCGGCCTGTTCTGCTCCCCACTGTCTCTGGTGAATCCTCTCACCACCCCTGCACCTCTGGCCTGTACCCCAGTTCTGTATGC